CTAGGTGAGCCCTCCAGGTCGATTCCTGCTCTGAGTGGAGGTGTGAACCGGAGGACTTCTCTACCGTTTCTCTCTCCATCTGACATCTAAGTATGTAAAAAAAGTATTTTAAAGCACACTTATAAAAATTCTAAGAAAGTACAGTGAAGTTGTAGGAGGAGGAAATAAAATATTATTGGAGAATCAACCATTAAATTATGGATTTAAGAGTTTATTTCATAACTTGTACATAACGACTTCTATGTTTCCGTGAATCTGTATCACAAGCCTCCAGCTCTACCTTTCATCATGCACTGTGTTCATTTCACTGCAGCGAAGCCCCTATGCTCTCTTTTTGGCACTTAATAAGAATACTGACTGGTGCTGGGGATCAGAGCGAGGGTGTCCCTATATTACACCCAAGATCTGTGTGCAAAAGTGTCAGAGGTAGGAAGAGCAGAAGAGCCCTGGAACCTTCCTGCAGGCTCTGCTTCCCATTAAGAACGCAAAGCATCCAGCAGCTGCTTCTAGAAAGGAGCTCTTGCCACGGCATCCACCAGGATTCTCAGAAAACTTGGCAAAATCTGTGCTCGTGGCATCTGTGTGAGGAGAGAGTCCAAGTTCTCATCAACGTCTCAGAGGCGTTTATGACTAAGAGTGAGATCTATATTCAGGGCAAACCTGCACCCCCTCCTCGGGGGCTGCAGCCGTCTCACTGTTGTGCGGGGGAGGGGTTGGGAGTTAGAAAGCTGATTCTGAATAGTCTCCAAATCTAAAGCACCACAGCAGAGAAACCGTGGTTGCAAACGCCCTTGCTCACAGGATCCTGGGCCCCAGAGCCCTGATCTTTCAAACTATGAAGGAGTGTGTGGCCCTGGGCCTTGAGGATACAGCGAATGACAAGTTCCCAATGGCTTGACAGGTGCATCCCTCTTAATCATGGCCACGTGAAGACTCAAGGGGACCTGACTGGCCACTCTGTCACTGTTATTAGTAATTTAGTTACCAACTTTCCTATTAGAAAGAAAACATAAAAACGCTGCCTTAGTCAAAGATAACCTCATGCTCAAAGTCACACAAGGAGGCACAGAATGAATCTTCATGACGATATCGTTATTTTGAAATATTATCCCTTCCCCTACCCAAATCCCCCCCCACCATGTACCATTTGTCAATTAATAAAAAGCATTCCAGTACTGTCTACACTGAAAATGGGAAGGTGGTAAGATAGAGAAATGGAACCCAGACCAATATCAAGAGAAATGTCTTCCTTCTCCAGAGGCTGTTAAAAATAAGACCGACACTCATCTATCTGAAATGGCTCTAGTCTTTTTAAGCAGAGAAAAGAAAGTGAGCCTTTGAGGGACCTTCTACGCCTGTTGTCTTAAGTTGTGAACATCTAAAGTGACTCAAAACCCAAGTGCTCATCTCGTGCACAAACCACAAGCACATGGGTGCCCCAGGGACATGATGTGATACAAGGGCAGACCAATCGGTGGGGTCTCCGGGCCACACCTTGTGAGCAACTACACCACGGCGCTGAATAATTTTGTACTACATCGTTCTGAAAACAGATTCAGGAATTTGCAGAATATTTTCAGTAAGTGATCTAACAGAAATGTTTTCTCTTTCAATTTAAAAACATTTGCTAGTATTGATTGAAATGACGACACTTCAACATCCACCTGTGTTTACGTTAAATCTGTAATCAGCGATGGTGATGTAGAAATATACAGTCAATTGTCACTTCAAAACACACAAAAATTGGACATGCTATACACTTCTCTTTTAAAATGTATCTGTATTATTTTCACCAATCAAAACACACATAATATATTTTGTTACAAAACATTAGGCAATATTACTTTTGAGATATGCGATCTGAGGTCACACCTGTATTCACCGCCAGCATGAAACATCAGAGGCGTTAATTAGCGATCAAGCAGAAGACCTCGTAATCACCACCACGACTGACACAGCGTCAAATCCGGATGAAACCAGCATCCCATTCAACCTTTCGACGAGGGGCTCTGGCTGCCGGCAAGGCCCTGCTGAAGGTTTCCTTTCAGCACCGTGGCTCTGAGTTTGCATCCCAGAGTTAAGAACAGAGCCACACTAGCATCTCCAGACCACAGCTGTCAGCACTGAGCAGCATGTGCTTCTAGAATGCTCTCCTACTTGGACAGATTCTGCTCTCTGGAACCTGCACTTGAAATCAAGACCTGACAAAGGGGAGGCAGTCATTTTGGTTTTGAGTGAAAACAAACAAAAGGAACCTAGATCAAATTCCAGGCTAATAACAAATTACCTGGTTTATAAAAATATGTGTCCAAAATAGTTACTTCCAGGGTTGTGTACAATATAAATTACAAAAATAAAATAGAGAAGATGAAAAATTGAGCACATTTTCAGTTCTCATCAGCATTCATCCGCAGCGACCAGTGTGAAACCCCGCGCACTGCACCAGGACCTGGCACACCTCCCTCGGGGGGAGGGGGGGGCCCTGCAGGGGGGAGGTATCCCTGTGGAGCTCTGCTGTCTACAGCCTGTGGCCTGTCCTACATGCACTCCCCGCCACCTGGTGGAAGGTGGGCTTGGCACAACGTGGGCTCCATCGTGAACACAAACGAAGGAGCGAGCAAGAGGCCCATCTGTGGGGTGCCCGGCTAAGCGGGACTGCCCTGCACCCTCAGCACCTGGTGCTGCATTTACATATGGCCAGGGCAGAGAATAAATTTTTAAAACTTTTCTCTTTCTTTGTTTTTATTTTAAAAGATAGACTCAGTAAAGCTTTTAAAAGAATGTAGATTAGAGGAAAGGCCATTTTAAGACACTTTTACATGTATAGTGATAACGGTCTTCACTAGACCATCAGCCTCCAAACACAAAAATCAGCCCAAGCCCACAGCAGGTGTCTGTGCCTCATTCCAAGTTAGTATTTCCATCCTGTACTCGAGTGTGTCTAAAGCTCACAATATAAAACTGATTTCAGTATTAAATTTGCTCATCAAAGGTTCTACTTTCCAATAATAATACCAACCAATAAGATACAACTGGTGCAGAGAAAATAAAATATCGTAGCTAATATTTATAATAAACTGGCTTACCAAAGTTCCTCCTCAGAACAATTCTAGAGAATGTTGACCCAACAGCTTCCAAAACAATTAAACGTGAGACAGGAATCCGTACAGAATAAGCTCTCGGAAAAGCATTATGCGCACAGGTAGCCAAAATGTGACCATCGGTAGCTCCATTTCTGCAGTGACACTGCAATACCCAGCATCTCAGTGAATTCTGAATGATTTCCACATGCAAAAGTCTGAAAGCATCCATTTCAGGTGAGCAGTTTGAATCAGGAAAGATGCAATAGTGAACCACGACTCTTTCAGGGTCTCTTCCACACCCTCTGAAGAGCTTTCCCAGAACACACACCACGTCCCTGAGGAGAAGGTGCCAACACCACGTGGGAGGCCACCGGCAGGCTCGGCGTCAGCCTGCCCCTCACACAGACCACGGGGACGCCTGTGCTTCTCTCAGGAAAGCAGGCCCTGAGCCTGCTGTGGGGAAGGGGAACCCGCCTGCGCAGTCACGTTCACCTTGAACGAAGACGGAAGGAGGGACCCATTCGCTGTGGGCAGAGCGAGCCTCAGGAAGTGCCTGTGATGGCCGTTGGTGGTCATTTTGCAAAACCCTACTCTAAAGGCAATAATGGATTCAAGGAGCTATGTGCCATCATATTACTGAGACGGGTTGTTAGGGGGCTAATAAGGATGGTGAATTTCTAGGTAGCATTTTAAACTAATAGTAAGTTCATAAGACCAAGAAAAAAAGAGTTAGGGTCACCAAGATTTTAAAAGTATGTATGTCTCAGCAGCACAAAACACAACTTGGAACTTTGCCATGCAGTGAGGCTGAATGTGCAGCCACCAGACTAACGTGCATGTAAGTGTCTTGGTTTTAGCAGAGATAATTCTCAGCCCCAAACATGACAAATTTTTAAAAAGTTCTATTTTTTTATTTATTAAATAGATGTAATTATATTCCTTCTGAAATACAAAAGATAGAATAAATCATACCATAAAAGAAGGTGAGATATGATAATATGATGGTGGCCAATTAATACACATAAACCTATTTTTTCTGGACAGACACCAAAGTACTTAAGATTAAGAGGTAATTCTAGAAACAGCACTACCTGGAAGACTATTTGGCATTTAAATATTGATTTCCAAAGTTCTAGATGGCAAGTTGGAGCAAGCACTGTGGTCACATGCATATAAGTCCCAACAGTCATTGAAGATGAGAAATTGTCACTACCATTACCGTACAAGTAAAGAAACAAATTGCTCATCATCGACAACCTTCAAGCGGTCCCGTGGAGGCATCGAGGCTGCTGTCTGTGTCTGAGGCCAACGTCTGCTCGGTGGACATGGATGAAATGTCATTGATAGATGATGACTGAGAAGGAGTGGCGTTGCTACTTACTGCTGCATCTGTGCTAAGAAAACCAAGCATAGTAAAACCTGAGGCAGGACACTGCTGCACCCCCGGCAGGGAGCCTCAGGGCGCTCCTCGCTGTCCTCTGTGGCTCCCGTCCTAACTGTCAGCATAAATGAGAAGTTAGTTGACTGTACATTTTGAGCTTTTCCTAGAGTCCTCTGTAGGCCCAGAATCCCAAATATTCCTGTCTTTCCCTGAAACATCCTCCTTTTCTTCCTAGTGGCTGAGCATCATATATGTATTCATGTACAATCATGTTAACTACTTAAAAATGCCTGCTGGGTTAAAAAGGATATTAAAGAAAATTGCTGAATGTATCCTAAAATTATCAGTACCTGAACAGGCTTAAGCCCAAATAGGATTCAAATGCCACCAGACATTTCAGTTATAATCGCAAACACTTGATCCAAGGACAAAAGCATCAGCTTTGAAGAATTCTTTTGCAATAAAAATACCTACTAAAATAAGGGCTGTATACAGACAAACCAGCAAGAAAGGGGGGAAAATGTGGTGTCCTCCTGTTAATTTTATTTTTGTTTTAGAAATCTCCAAAATTGACATATTAAGGCAAATGAAATTATCCTACTTGCTACTATCCATATTTTGGTCTGGTCTGAGCAAAAGTAAAACATTCAGGCTCTCAGAGGTTGGTGTCTGCAGTCTTAAATGTGGGCTTAATTAACAAAAAGCACTTAATCTCATGCTGAAGTTACACAACCTCTGGATGACTGACCCATTTGTCTTGCTGAATATAAAATTCCATAAGAAGAAGCATTGCACATAGGCCATAGAAGTTGGGTGAGAAAATCTCTATAATGAAGAATTTCTGTGAGAAAAACAGGTGGCCTCCCACAGGCTTAGGAACAGACATGCTCTGTCTCTAGCGATCACAGTTGCCTCGCTGTTAGGCTTCTCCCATTAGGTAGGTCGAGGAGAAAATGGTGTAACTGTATGAATAAATTTCTCAAAAGAAAACCAAACTCATCTTAATTAGATTCACATTCGTTTTCTTTTTAACTGGGTTGGGCCAGGACAAAGCGGGTCATGCACATCGAAAAGGCTTTACATTCAGTTTCCTCATCTGGAAATGGAGCTGACAGCAGCTGCAAGGCTGGGACAGGAATGTTTACAATGAGGCTGGCTCACTGCTTGGCACCTCAGTGTAACGCTAGCGGCCACCCCCAGGACAAACCCAGTGGGAGGCTAAGCACACGCGGATTTTCCAATCCAGTGCTGGTCACGCTGGCACTTCACACACCACTGCCAGCTGTGAAAGCTGACCAGGGAAAGAATGCGATCACTATTAAAGCGATGACTAACCTGAAGGCTGATCTTTGACAACACCGTTCTTACTTCTTTCTTCCCAGTCCATGACTTCTTTGTAAATTAGCTCTGCAAACAGAAGTGCAAGTGAAAAGGCTTCCTCGGTCTCTTGGCACCGCTAACCCTTCTCCCAAGTCAACGGGAACTACTCCAAGGGCACTGGGATGTGTTGTTTTTAATTGTGATACACAGTTAACTCAGAAACACAGTCGACCCAGACCAAACTATCCATGTTTTGATAGATCACATCTTTTCAACCCAATTATTAAGGCCACCAAAAATGTAGGTGGTTCTGGGTCCATGAGGGGATTTTAAAAAAGGGGGCAGGTAGACAGAGAGAGAGAGAGAGAAACAGAGAGAAAGAGAAAGTTAGCCAAGTGGCTCTCACAGACATTTTAAACTACTGGATGCTCTCACACGTGTTTGTATGTTTCTCTGTCATTACTGTGGTTCTCCAAACACGAACAGCATCCACATGTGAGCTAGAAGCACCTCCAGACTGCCCAGAAATTAATCCAAATACCTAACTTTTTTCTTGGCTTCAACTCGGTTTTCCTTGGTAAGAAAAACAATTAACTATTAAACAATTTATTAGGGGGTTCTAAAATTTTAGGATTCTTGAAATAAAATAAGCCTGCCTTTTGCCACAAAGTGTGGCTGTGTATAAGGCCCTGCTGTGTGTGCGCAGATCACTGGCACTCCGGACACCCTGGGAAGGGGTCCAGGTCACCTATTTTGACTTGTGCTGACCATGGTTCTCAATTACTAGTGACTCTAACTTTTAATGAAAAATCATCAGTTCAGTCTCTTTATTGCTGGTTTAGTTTGTTGTGAGTTGTTTGGTTAATCTCATAGTGGAATAAAAATTTTTTGCATATTTGTGATCTGCTATTTTGCCCAAATTCTATTTTAAAACACATATACAACCACATGATTTATGACTACAGCATACATTAAAATGACCTTGCTGAAGTCCCCAAGGTCTGCTTTACGGGTTTGTAAATTGGGGCTACCCAACATTTTGCAACATGTCATCAAGGTGTGATATAATTAGTACACTTAGTTGACAAACCAGGATTTGATAATGTAAGGTCATGTGAAAAAGCCCTTATTTTTCTCTTTTAAAGCCAATAATATACAATTCATACATGTCCCTTTTGAACTCTGTCACCTTCGAGTTCTTTTTCTCCTGGGAAGGGGGAGAGGGAGGGTAATGGCCTGCAGGGTTTCTTGTTCCTGCCCCCCAAAGGCTATTATTGACAAGTGAGAAACTGCCCCTCCAAGGACTTCAAGAAACGTCGTAAGTATGGATCAAAATCAGCCCCCCGTTACCTTTCCATTCTTCAATCGCATGTTCTCTTTCTTCCAACTGGGCATCGTAAATTTGAGGTGGTGGCTAAAAATTAAGTTACACGTAAAGTCAATTAATTTACAAAATAATGAGGCATTAAGAAAAGGGTAGAATCACTTGGAGGACTTCTAATATATTTATGATATGGATGTAATTTCTTTCAAACATGGCTTATGAAAGATTTCTTGAAAAGTGTGATATTCTATCAGTTTTAGAATCAAAATAATTAAGATTAACCAATAAAATAGAGCTCTTACTGTCATCTTTATAATCACATGACCTCAAAACACTTTAAAGCTATCTGCTCAAATCTATATATATAAAAGCCTAATATGCAAGTGTCCCCTTGGGAGTTCGATCACTTGCTATGACACGTGCTGACCACCAGGGGGCAGCACAGAACGAAGGAAGGCCCCAGCCAGCGGCCAGCAGCCGGGGAAGGAAGGCCCTGGCCACAGCTGGAAGGCCCTGATTGGCCCTGATCACTGGCAAGGCCTAGGGACCCTACCTGTGCACAAATTTTGTGCACTGGGTCTCCAGTGTAATTACAAAATGAATCATCACAGGCTGCTTCCTAGAGACCCTCCCTGGACAAGACACTGTGCCAGGATACAGAAGGGGGAGAATGCAGTTCAGATCGACAGTTCTTCTCATCAGAACTCCCAAACCCATCCACCTCCACCCATCAGTGCACTGATCCAAAAACTTGCTTAAAAATCACACGCTTATATATCAGATTCTTTTCATATAAAACAATATTTAAAATGGAGGTTTTAAAAAGAATAATAAAATAAAAATAAAATGGTGGTTAAATCCAGAGGCCAAGACGTAAAAATGAGTTCCACTGCTGGCACACAATCAGCATCCACCATGCGCTTCCTTCACTCACAGCTGAGGATCGCCCCCAGTGTGCTGTGGAAACATGGACATGAGCACCAGCTCAGAGTGGAGCGCCCCTAGCAGGTGCCCCTGGGAAGGACCAACAAACGTGATTTTCAGCAAGTTTCTTAGCCTGACTGGGTGCCTAAACAAGATGATGTAACCAAAGCCCAACGCACAATGCCAGGTACACATGGAGCTTAAAAGTGGCGATATGGTGACCACCCTCCAGCATCCGCATCCAAGATGAGTCTATGGCCGCAGCATAAGCACATTCACTTCCTAAGGACTGAGCTAGAGCCCAGGAACAAGTGCTCCAAAAGGGGCCGTGACCCATCACATGGCCTCTCTGTGATCCTCTTAATGTAGGACTTGCTCCCCTCATGTAGACATTCTAGACCAGACAGACGACCCTAGGAAATGTAAGTCCCTGAACATATGTCTTTTCACAAGAGCTGCTTACCGCTTCTGCTTCAGCAGGGTCATACCACACAGTAATGTAAGGGTGGTGCAAAGCCTCGTCCACAGAGATTCGCTTGTCAGGGTCTATCACTAACATTTTTGATAACAGATCTCTGGCTTGACTTGCTAGAGTAAAAACAAATATTAGATTAGTAACTAATGCTGTTTATTTGAAAACTGCACTATGAAGAACTAACTGTGACAGCACAAATAGAACAAAAATGGGTCTGGCTGGTGTGGCTCAGTTGGTTGAGTGTTGTCCATGTACCTGGGGGAGGGCAGGGTGCGGGAGGCAGCCGATTGATGCTCATCAATGTTCCTACCTCTCTGTTCTTCTCCCTCTAAAATCAATAAAAAGATTTTTTGAAATATATGAACTTTGAAAATTGTTTGATAGGTTCAAGATCAAGAGCTTTTTTCTTTAAGACTATCAGCCTCTTTCACTAGAAATCGGGCTTTTGGACGTGGTTTCAGCCTCCAGGTCTGGAAGAGGAAGACAGAGTCCCAGGGAGCACCTCTCCAGGGAGGGTGCAGAGCTGAGCGGGGGCCCTGCCATCTGTGCAGACACGAAGCACGAGTGAGCATTTATTTCTGATGTCGTTCCAAAGTGCAACTAGAACAGACCTTATAAGCCACACAATAATCTCACACTGGCACAGGATGGGCACTTCCCTGGTGCCTCTGCTTTGCCTACCTGGATACAATGTTGTCAACATACACTTTAAAAAAAATCTAGAGATTAGTAGTAGCTAAAAAAAAGCAACACCGCAGTAACTTAGTTAAATGCAAGGCTCACTGAGGTTTTGACAATTAAAGTTGACATATACAGGCAAAGGAGAGATGGGACTTTTCTGATTGAGGGGCAATTTACCTTGATGTGGAGAGAAACAAATCTCTTTTCCCTTAAATCACATTTTAGTGATGGACACAGGAAAAGGGAGGAGGAGCTTCTTTTGAACTGAACTATCATTTGGTTTCTGACTTTTCAACGGGGCTAGATCCTTATACAAGCATCCTGTGAACCTGGAGACGTTTAAAACGTCAGCTGCTGGAACTAACGCAGGAGTCTTTCTGACTGGTGGGAATAGTTTTGTTTGGCCAATTTAGTTAAGTCATTTTATTGAGGACAAAACTTCTAGGTCTTGAAGCTTTCTCTCCACAATGCCTTCATTTTAGCCTGGAAATGGCTTTACTTTAAGGTTTCAACTATTTTGTTTCCCAATGTTCACAGGTTTTAGAACACAAACATGAAAAATGAACGCTTCACCCAGATTATGGAAACAAGAGGCTAGCTTACTTTTAATTTTGTCTCGTTCCGATTCTGATGGGAATATCCAGTCTGGAAAGAGTTCTTCAAATTTGATTCCAGGATACTTTGGTCTGTTTTCTACATAATTCCTCACAGTTGGCTGAAGTTTCTTCATGAAATCTGCAGACGGTGTTCCTAGCTGCTCAATAACTTTATTCCACTGATCAATATCTAAGGAATCTCTTGAGGAAAATACAACTGAAATGCCTTATACTCCTATTACATGAAGTGGCATCATTCAAAGAAAAACAAATTATATTTATACCTGTCAACAAGTAATTAACTAGGCTACTCTACATGGCCAGCAGAAGCCTTTTGAAATAATATCCAAATAAGGTTTGAATTCCCAAGTTTAGATCATTAAAAAACAAACAAAAAAACTCTTATACTCTTTATAAAGTATGATCACAGTTTATTAAATCAATACAATGAGTTCTATATGCCTTCCCATTCTAGATCAAAATAAAGGTATCTTATAACTGAAGAATACCTATGACAGAAATGCTTATCTATGAAATTAGACAGTAATTACAAGGCAAACTGAAACCAGTTTTCACACTAATGCTATGTTAGATCTAAAGCTCCCTAAACTGGAAGACCTATGGGGCTTCTCAGTTCACAGCTGGGGAGCCAGAGCCCTGTGAGGCAGGGCCCACATCTGGCATTTGCCAACATTTTCACTTGAAAAAAAAAAGTTGTCAATACTTGTTTCTCTAATTCCCAGCCTCTTGCTCTCTCTTAAACATCCTCTTGTCAGGCTTTCCCCATCACTCCATGAAATCTAGCCCACCCAGGCTGCCAGTGACCATCCCTCACCCTACTGGTCATTCTCAACCCTGACCTTTTTAACAGCGTCACCCAGCTTCCCCCTCAGCAACTTCCCCCCTGGCTTCTAGGGCCTCTCCCTCCAGGAGGGGCCTCTGTCACCTTCACAGGCTTCTCTTTTCTCCGCCACCCGAGGGGCTTGGTCCTCCTCCTTTGTCCTCTCTCAGCACTCACTACCAGTATCCTGCCTTTACACAGCATGGCAGTCTGACCATCCATCTTTGTTTCTCCATCCCAAACCCCTTCCCAAGCTCAGCTCTTGCTATCTCCAGTGTCTGACATACGTCTCAGAACCCTAACAAGGCTCACTGAAGGGCTGGCCTTCAAACAAATACAGCGTTTCAGCCGCCTCCCCCTACCATCCTGGTGGTTTCCTTGCGATAGCCCTTGACCTTGCAGCTCAGCAGCTGGGCCATCCTTTTCCACTTTAGGTCAGCTGAGAGCCTAGGAAAGGGTAGGTGCTCAATAAATAGCTACCGGGGTTATGTCTATAGATAACAGAGGGATAGGCGGCAGGAGGACAGTCCCAAAAGCCTGGCTGACACCCGGGGTGTGTGAAGGCACCACCGAGCTCTCATTATACCACAGAGGAACCAAGGCTCAGAAGGGCTCTGACTGCTCAAGGATGCAGACACCATGTGGGAGTCAGAACTGGGCCCACGGTGGCCTGGCTAAAGCATCCTCTCTATGGACCATCCTGGGACAGGAGCTCCTTTTCTACCCCAGGCCACAAACCTAAAGCGGATCTATAAGAACTGCAGACTGCTTTCCAGAATCTAATGTTTGAAAAACTGGCAAAACTATCTTTGAAAAATGATGTTAATCTCAGTGTGTGTTCTGAAAATGACATTAGGTAATCTTATATATACAATTATTAATTACAGACACTGTAAGATGTTAATATGTAAAGTAGGAATTTTAAATTACTTAATAATGCACCAAAAAGTACCCACATTTTTCATTTTTGTATTTTCTGAAGAAAACATTTCTTAATACAAAAAGGAAAGGCATAAAATGAAGAAGAATTGAGACAAACTGAATGTTAGATACTTTTAAATGATTTAACTTTAGAATATGTCAGTTTTTCCCTTTTTAATTGACTTTATTTGTAAAATAAAGGCCCCCTTCCTTACAGTTTGAAACAAGTGAATCTAAGGTAGATTATGGAAAACTACTGGAAAATTTACTAGAACAAAATAAAATGCTGCATTTAACCTCACATAACATCTGTGATGTGGTAAATAAAATGACAGGAATAAAACCTTTTCATTCCAAGTTTGTGTTGTGAATAATTTATAATACAAAAAAACTGCCCTCATAAAATTATAAAAAACTAAAATTAACAAAATACAAACCCTGACTACACAGCTTGATTTCCTTTAAAAAACACAACACATCAATTTGCCAATGAACAGAGACACTTAAAGCTTTCACAACAAAAATCAAAATCAAAGACTAATGAAAATATTAAGTGGTTAGAACACAAATGAAAAAGGGCATATGTGAAGAACCATGTTGGCGTAAAAAACATTAGAGATGGAAGAATATGAGGAATATGAGGAAAGAAAGCTATATTATCTATTTACTTTGTGCTATGTCATTAATATGATTTCCTGACCACAAGATAAGTTAATCTTTGGCCTTTTATATTTATTTTAGACTTCCCAGTGTCTCACAAAATACCTTTATGCAGGTTTTTAAAAAATTTCTACAAAATGTCAGAGAAACAAGAAAATTTACCATATGTTGTTCCTCACCAACTTTCACTTTAATCTTTTTCACTTAGGTGTTATGTAGTATGCTTCTGTTCTTTGGGGGAAAGTATTTTAATGCATACTAATAGCTAACAAAATAGCATATTAATTAAATTATGCAGGAATACTTACTGGTCTACTAAATTTAGACAGTAACTTGCCTAGTTAAATTACTTGAGTGAACTAAATAAATAACATTTTCATTTATATCAGAATATATTCATCAAATAATAAATTTCTAATAAGCTATTTTTTATAAAATTAAGAGCTAATATAATTAGTTTAACTTAACAAGCCTCAATAAAATCATTAGAGGTAGTCAAGTAAAAAAGAAAAGGTAAAACTGAACCAGTGGTTTGTGACACTAATTTAACAAACATGATAAAGCCCCTTACACCCGGTCTGGAACTATGGCGTTTTCCTTTTGAGCTCCGGCTGCTTGTAGTGCTTAAGGAAGCATGGCCGGGAAGGTCCCGGGAAGGATACGGTCAGTGCCTTGGAATATCACACAACCTTTCACCAGCTCGCCCATGATGCAACCCACTGACCAGATATCAACTGAAAATAAAATGAAATGATAAAATTATAAAGTGCCATGAACAAAACAAAGGTGAGGAAAAGGAATTCTAACAGTGTACTAAACACACAAATATGGAAGAACGAATTGCTAAGGGTGAGTTGAGCTTCACACAATGTGAATGGTTGCAGCCTCCAGTGTAGCCATCAGTGCACAGCAACCTGGGGCTTAAGTGGCAAAGATTCCAATACTTTACAGCTTAAAAAAGAAACAAAACCCCAGAAACAGAAGTGCCTGTCCCCACACCAAGCTGTTTTAGTCCCCCCACCCCCACCCCTCACCCACCCTGTGGCCACTACAGGTCTCCCTGTGAAGGATACAGTCTCTTCCTGCGAACAGGACTTTATGGAGAACCATTTCTGCCATGATGCACCCGACAGACCAGATGTCCACTACCAAACACCAGGTGATTAAAACCAGCAGGAGACCCACACATCCTCCTCCAACTTCTCCCATAGAGACCAACGCAGCTGGTAACATGCGAACCCCAGGCCTCCTGAGGGTCCTTTTCTAAACTGTCCCGTCAGCAGGGCCCACAGAGGCAGGCTGGCTCTTCTGAGCTCCAGGGGAGGCCCTGCCAGGTGTCCTGACTTCCAGCGGCTCACCCTCTTCTGCGGGGCCAGCAGAACTCACGCCTCTGCCAGCCAGGCAGAGGGCTATCTAATGCCCTTGCTGGAGAGGCGGCGGGTGGGAGAAAGTAAGCGGGAATCTAGTTTTCTCTCCCTTCCGCAGGAAACAACAGAGCCCAGAGCAGTGTCCCAGTGGGAGCACAGGTTAGAGCAGCTAAGTAGATCTGAGGCAAAGCCCATTTCAGATGGCTGGGGCAAACTTTCAGACTTTTTAAAAACAAATTAATGTGATTTCATTTTTTTTGGCAAATTTGTCAAAAGCTAAGTTTGAAAAAGCTCTGTTATTCTGTTATTGCTAGAATAAGTTTTGATGTTAAAAAAACACCAATATCAACTTTTCTATGCAAAAAAGAACATATATTATTCCATTTGTAGCACGTTCAAAAATAAGTAAAACCAATCAATGGTGCTGGAAATGAGGTTGGTATCTTCCCTTGGGGACGAAGACCTGAAGGACCCTGGAGAGGCCTGGGGTGGTGCTGGTTATGTGGGTGCGCTCCCATTAAGTGCACACTTGAGATTTATACTCTTTTCTATAAGTATGTTATACTTTGATAAACATTCAAAAATATTAACTTCAAAAGTGAATAATTTTAACTAATGGAAATATAAAAGTAATGATTTTTTATTTGTGGACTAGGATAATCTGTGTGTAACACAGTCCCCACGTTAAAGTTTATATAACTCACAGGAAAGAGACACACTAGTGATGACAAATGGCACTATTTTTAAACATCTCAGGCTCTCCGGTGCCATCTGCACTCACCGTTCTCCTTATAGCCCATACCCAGGATGACTTCCGGCGCCCGGTAATACCGTGTCACCACGTAGGGAGTCATCATGAAGTTGGTGCACGCTGTCCGGGCTAGGCCAAAGTCCAGGATCTTAAGTGTGCCGTCTGACTTTACTACGATGTTGCTAGGTTTCAAATCCTAGGACAGAAATGGTTTGAATGAATAAAATGCACCGAAGCATGCTACTAGTAAATAAACCGCATGCTGGCAGGGAGCGGAGAGGTCAGTGACTGCTGAAGTACATGAGTGCTGGCGGGAGGAGGAAAGGTAGAATGGAACCCTGGCATTTTGGAACAATTCTGGAAAATCCTGTTCTCAAACTGAAACTAATATAAATAAGCCTAAAGAAGTCAGCTGGTTGCCCTCACCCCCACGTGGAAAGGCTCATGACCTTTACTTCAAACCTCCCGAGGGGGGAGCTGCCGGGCTGAGGGCCAAGGGGCTGGTGCCTGGTGTGAGGGATGGGGCTGCCT